AGCCAGGCCTGGGTGCCTGATCTGTGGTCTCTCCGCAGCTCCGCCACTTTACCGCTGATGATGAAGTGCGTGGAGGAGAAGAACGGCGTCTCTAAGCATATCTGCCGCTTCATCCTGCCCATCGGCGCCACGGTCAACATGGACGGAGCCGCGCTCTTCCAGTGCGTGGCCGCGGTGTTCATCGCCCAGAACAAGCAGCTCCCCTTGGACTTCGTGAAGATCATCACCATCTTGTGAGTGTGGCTTGGCCCTGAGGGTGGACACGGGCTGGCGGAGCAGGGCTCCTGCGGTAGCTTCTCCCACTGGGAGGCCCCTCCCTGACCTCCCCTCTCCCCCTCTCCCCCAGGGTCACCGCCACAGCATCCAGCGTGGGCGCTGCGGGCATCCCTGCTGGAGGCGTCCTCACCCTGGCCATCATCCTTGAGGCGGTCGGTCTGCCGGTTGACATCTCCTGGATCCTGGCTGTGGACTGGCTAGTGTGAGTGTGGGTTTGGGGCTCTGGGGGGCGGGGCTCAGGGGTCCTCCCGGGGAAGCGGATGAGGACGAGGGTCATGGAGAGCCTCTGGGCAGAAGAGGAGAGGAAGGCAGGAGTTTCAGAGGCCAGGGGATGGGACCTTGAGCATCCGGTCAGAGGGGAGGAAGGAAGGAGGGGTCTTGGGGCTTGTAAGAAGAACCCCAGAAAGGTAGTGTGTGTAATAGAGTGGACCCTTAGGCCAGGCTGCTTGTGTTCGAATCCCAGCGCCACCACTGCCGGCTAGTATGGCCTTGGGCTGGTATTTACTCTCTCTCAGTTTCTCCGTCTGTAAAATGGGGAGAATAGCCCCTCTTTGAGTAGATGACTTAAACGCAACTTGCTTACGAGAGCCCCTAGTAAGTTGTAAATGCTGAGACATAACTGGTAGCTGTCTGTATTGAGCTACTCAGAGCATACAAGATTGGAAACAGTTTGGTTTCAAGTTAGGTAGAGAATTACCATATGTCTTAGCAGTATCACTCCTAGGTTATACCCCAGAGACTGGAGAACATGTCCACAAACACTTGTCCACAGATGTTCACAGTATGTTATTCTATTCATCACTATTCATAAAAGTGAACAGGTAGAAACAGCCCAAATGTCCACCAGCTGGTGAATAGAGACATAATGTCACCTCTCCATCCGATGGGCTACAGAATGGAGCACTGATACATCCACGTTACCTCGTGGGTGGCCCTGAGGGCATTAGGCTGAGCGAGAGAAGCCACACTCAAAGGACCACATGGCCTGTGACTCCATTTCTCTGAAATGCCCAGCATAGGCAAATCTATAGAAAGTAGATTAGTGGCTGCCTAGGGCTGGGGGAATAGCTGCTTAATGGGTGTGGGGCGTTATTTTTGGAGTGGTAAAAATACTCCGGAATTAAATGGTGGTGATGGTTGCACAATTCTGAATATACTAAAAACCACTGGCTGTATACTTTTTTTTGATTGATTAAGGTATTACATATGTGTCCTCACCCCTCATTGCCCCCCCCTTTTTAAAATATATTTATTGATTTCAGAGAGAAAGGGAGAGGGAGAGAGAGAGAGAGAGATAGAAACATCAACGATGAGAGAGAATCATTGATCGGCTGCCTCCTGCGTACCCCCTACTGGGGATTGAGCCCACAACCTGGGCATGTGCCCTTGACCAGAATCGAACCTGGGACCCTTCAGTCTGCAGGCCGACGCTCTATCCACTGAGCCGAACCAGCCAGGGCTGGGCTGTACACTTTTTAACGGGTGATTTTATGGTATGTGAATTGTAGCTCCACTTTCTAAAATGTCGCATACACACAGCATAAAGAGGAAAGAAAAAGATCCTTAGGATTCTGAGGAGGAGAAAGGCCTGAAGGAGAACTCAGTGTTTCAGGGGGAAGAGGAGAGGGGGAGGGGGAGGGTCTTCTGGGGCCCCAAGAGAAGGAGGGGGTGACTTTGAGGTTCCAGAAGGAACAAATCTCGTTTTATTGGAAGAAGGATCAATAGGGTCTGGAGAGGACAGAGACCTTTGGGGTTCAGGGGCAGAGGGCGTATGATGGGACACTTTGGCATTCCAGAGGCAAGAGGGGTGGGGACTTTGAGGCTCTAGGCCAGCGGTTCTCAACCTGTGGGTCGCGACCCTTTTGGTGGTCGAACGACCCTTTCACAGGGGTCGCCTAAGACCATCCTGCGAAGGTTGAGAACCACTGCTCTAGGAGGAGGGATCATTGGCATCCTGGAGGGTGGAGGGATGCCCGGGGCCCAGGGCCATAGCATAGGGTTCTGTGTAGGATGGTGTTACGGGGTCTTCTTGATTCTCGGGGGGGGGGGGGGGGGGGAGGGGGGGAGCTGGGCCTTGGCCCCACCCCTCCCACTCATGTCCCCATCACTCCTCCCCTTTCAGGGACCGGTCCTGTACCGTCCTCAACGTGGAAGGCGACGCCTTTGGGGCGGGCCTCCTCCAGCATTACGTGGATCGGACGAAGCCCGCGAGCTCGGTGCCCCAGCTGGTGGAGGTGAAGACGTGCGTGGATCCGATGCCCGTCCCCTTTGAGGAGGGGAACCCCCTCCTCAAAAGCTACCCGAGACCTGCTGCGGATGCTGACCGCCTGGAGAAGGAGTCCGTCATGTAAGCCCGGTCGGGGCCTTCCCTGCCCATGGAGCACTTTGGACATTCAGATCACACCAGATGGATAAAGGGACACTCCGGGGAGCCAGGGGCCCAGCCTCCCTCCCCTGCCCCAGGTCGGTGAGGCTTTGCTGCTAGGACCTATGTGTATGTGGGTGTGAATGTCTCCCCAAACCTCCCTGATCTCAACTCCTGCCCCCGCCCAAGGTTACAAAACAGCAAATGGAGAAGTGGCGTCCTGGCCCCCCATCTCAGGGCGTGGCACAGGGCACAGGTCGCCACGTGGAACTGTGGCCTCTTTGATGGGATGTTCCCACATGTGCTGGCTCCTTTGCTGGTTATTGTGGTGGGTGTGGGCGTGGGTGTGTGTGGGTGCTGTGACTCCACGGTACGCTCCACCCTGTCCCGGGAACTCTGGGTAGGGGGAGACTGAGGACAAACACTGCTCTCACTCCAGAGGACATTTTTTAGCAATAACCTTGCCAAGCCCTAACCAGTTTTCTCAGTGGTTAGAGCGTCCGTCCCATGGACTGAAGGGTCACGGGTTCGATTCCGGTCAAGGGCACATACCTCAGGCGCATTCAGGAGGCAACCAATGGATGTTTCTCTCTGTCTCTCCCCCTCCCGTCCACTCTCTAAAAATCAATGGAAAATATATCCTTGGGTGAGGATTAACAAAAAGAAAAAAAAGTTGTCAAGTATATCTAATCAGATGTTTTTAAGAATTTGACTAGAAGCACTAGCCACACAGGAATAAAAAACAAACAGGATATGCCCTAACCGGTTTGGCTCAGTGGATAGTGGAGTGGCCTGCGGACTGAAGAGTCCCAGGTTCGATTCCGGTCAAGGGCATGTACCTTGGTTGCGGGCACATCCCCAGTGGGGAGTGTGCAGGAGGCAGCTGATCGATGTGTCTCTCTCATCGATGTTTCTAGCTCTCTATCCCTCTCCCTTCCTCTCTGTGAAAAATCAATAATATATATATTATAAAAAAAGAAAAAGAAAAAACAGGATAAGTTGGACTTCGGGGAAATGTCTGTCCGTCAACACTATGGGCAACTACCAGGAGATGCCATGCACGCCTACCGGGATGGCAACACACACACACCACGCCCTGTCGGGCATGTGGTGCAGCTGGACAGAGCCCATGCATTTCTGGTGGCAATGCAGAATGATCCAGTCACTTTGGAAAGTGCCCTGGCAGTCTTTTCTTTACTTTTAGAGAGGGAGAGAAACATCTCTTTGTTGTTCCACTTATTTATGCATTCCTTGGTTGATTCTTTTTTTTTTAAATTTATTTTTATTGATTTCAGAGAGAAAAGGAGAGGGAGGGAGAGCTAGAAACATCAATGATGAGAATCACTGCTTGGCTGCCTCCTGCACGCCCCTGCGGGGGGTCGAGCCTGCAACCTGGGCATGTGCCCTCGACCGGAATTGAACCTGGGGCCCTTCAGTCCGCAGGCTGATGCCCTATCCACTGAGCCAAACCGGCTAGGGCCATTGGTTGATTCTTATTTGTACCCTGAGCAGGGGATCAAACCCACAACCTTGGCCTATCGGGACAACCCTCTAACCAACTGAGCCACGTGGCCACGGCGGCTAAGGCAACCTTATCAAAATAAAACACACTTCTCATACAGCCCAGGAGCCCCACTGCTGGGAATTCACCCAAGAGAAATGAAAACTTCTGTCCGCACAGAAACCAGGGTACAAATGTTTATAGCTGCTGTCCTTACACTTGCCAAAATTCAGACGGAAGTCTGGTACAATCCTTGGATAAACTGGTACAATTATCATGCAAGTGAAGGCTGCCTGGCAAAAAAAAAAAAAGCAATTACCGGTAGACAGTTGATCCCCGAACAACACGGGTTTGAATTGCGAGGGTCCACTTATACGTAGATTTAAAAAATAAATAAATACCTGTATTGCTTTGATCTGTTGGGAGTCTGTATGCAGCGGGCTGGCTGCATGCATTGCTCTATGTCATATACTAGATCAACGCATACAGGGAGCTTGAATGTCCATGGATTTCCGTATCCAGCGGGGTCCTGGAACCAGCCCTCTGGCTACTGAGGGACAACTTAAGTTCTGGGAAAATCAAGTCTGACTTATGGGGGTTCGGGGGCTCCTAACACCCCTGTTGTTCAAGGTCAACTGTACTCAACGTGGGTGCATCTCACAGGTAATCTGTGGAGTGAAAGAAGCCAGAAATGGTACATACTATATAGTTCTATTTACATGAAGGCCTAGGGCAGGATAGAGCAGTGGTTCTCAACCTTCTGGCCCTTTAAATACAGTTCCTCATGTGGTGACCCCCAACCATAAAATTATTTTCGTTGCTACTTCATCACTGTCATGTTTGCTACTGTGATGAGTCGTCATGTAAATATCTGATATGCAGGATGGTCTTAGGCGACCCTGGGAAAGGGTCGTTCGACCGCCAAAGGGGTCGCGACCCACAGGTTGAGAACCGCTGGGATAGAGGCACAGCGGTGGTGGTCTTTCGGGTGCTCGGGGACCGGGAGGGGGCGCAAGGGAACCTTCTATGGTTCAGCCGGTGTGACATGTCTTGATATGGGTGATGCTCGCACAGATGGGGACGTTTGGAGAAATCAGTGAACCTGTGCACTTACGTGGTGTGCATGTCTCCTGTGTAGATTATCTTCCAGTTAACAATGTTGTGTATCTCATAGGAAGAAACTCCTTGTTTCTGTGATCACTGACGTAGGAAGGCGGGTGTCCCTTGATATCCGAACGCTCACTGCAAATAGTCCCAATAACGATTTGCTCTTTTAACCCCAAATTTGTTATTTAAATAAAAAAAACCTGCTGTGCCGCTAGTAGCCCATTGTACGCCGTAAGTGTCTGTGGACGCAAGCGGCGGGCCCTTCCCCACATGCCAGGCGCCTCTACAAAAAATATTTTGCCTACGTGGCAGCCCTGACCAACTTTTAAATAATTTTTCGGGAGAATTTTCAAGAACACCCGAATTGTGAGTAATATATTTATTTTTATAATATTCATTGCAAATTGATTTTTTTTATTAAATTCAAAATATCGTGGCGCGTGGGGATGCCACGCTTTGGACGCATGGCAGTTAACTGGTGAGTTCGGGTGCGGGCGACACCGGCTGCTGCTCACCTGTTCCGACAGGATCCGGTCTTGTGTGTTACTGGAGGAGTTACACATTCTGATCATATCTCCCGGGTCCCGGTGCAGCCCGCTGCCAGGGCCCGGAGGCATCTTCTCTTCCCCCATTTGCTCTCGTGATCATTGCCGTGTGGTAATTTAACTCCTATCTGATTCTGTGCAAACTTGTAGATTGCATACAAACAGAGCCAATGAATGAGTTTATTAGTGTCGGGTAGTTAAGTAATTGTTTTTTTTCATGCTTGATGGGTTGTTACGGAAATATTTAAGTGTTTTGTCAATATTTGGGGAAATTGGTGGTGGAGTTTTTGGAGGAAGCTGGGAGCGAGTGCATTATTCCCCCCCCCGTCCCCCTTAAAATTGTTGTTTTTCCTCAAATTTTCTATTGAATGTTTTTTTGGAGGGTGGATTAAGTTGACATTGTGTGGGATGCCTGTTTAAAGAGGTACATACCTATATGTGCAATATATTACATATAGTATCTACATACACAGTATGTATGTAGCTATATAACCGGCCAAGTTCCACCAAACTACTTTAGCCACCCTTTTCTGTTCCATTTTTAAAATGACCTGAGCACATGCCACTAGTTTGCCTAAAATGATGATCTAAGGTCATATAGAAAGACTGAAACCGCCCTGACCGGTTTGGCTCAGTGGATAGAGCGTCGGCCTGCGGACTGAAGGGTCCCAGGTTTGATTCCGGTCAAGGGCATGTACCTTGGCTGTGGGCACATCCCCAGTAGGGAGTGTGCAGGAGGCAGCTGATCAATGTTTCTCGCTCAGCAATGTTTCTAACTCTCTTTCTCTCTGTAAAAAATCAATAAAATATATTTTAAAAATATATTAAAAATATATTAAATAAAATATATTTAAAAAAAAAAAAGACTAAAACCATCTCAAGCCTCTTCAGTGTAGACAGGGGCTTAGGTGGCTCCAGACTTGGTCCCTGCTAGAATGTGCGCTCCCGGAGGGAGGGGCCTTAGGCCTGTTCCCTGCTGTCTGCCCAGAGCACACACAGGACCTGGCACATAGTGGGCACCCAGTCAGTCTGCAGGATGAATGAACTGGGCCCCAGCTACACAGGAACTGCCTGGCTACAGGAGGCTGGTTCAAGTCCTTCGTCTGCTACCTGCCAGCTATGGGACCTTGGACAAACAGGGCTGCCTTTCACTCCAGTGACAATGGCTGTTATGCCACACCCAAAGGTGAAGGTTGCATAAGAGAAGAAAAAGCACGCACCTTGAGGCCACTCCCTAGACCAGGCTCACCTCCCTCTCCCTTTTTCCATTGCCCAATCCTCTTGTTATTGGGACAGCCCTCTTTAAAAAAAAAAGATTATAGAGAGCCCGGCTGGTGTGGCTCAGTGGTTGAGCGTCGACCTATGAACCAGGAGGTCACGGTTCAATTCCCGGTCAGGGCACGTGCCCGGGTTGCAGGCTCGATCCCCAGTGTGGGGAGTGCAGGAGGCAGCTGGTTGATGATTCTCTTTCATCATTGATGTTTCTATCTCTCCCTCTCCCTTCCTCTCTGAAATCAATAAAAAAATATATTTAAAAAAATTATTTTAGAGAAACATCGATTTGTTGTTCTACGTATCCACGCATTCATTGGTTGATTCTTGCAGGTGCCCTGACCGGGGATCAATCCCACAACCTTGGCACATGGCCACCACACTCTAACCAACTGAGCTATCTGGCCAGGGACTGGGGCAGCCCTCCTGCTCCTTCCCAGGAGCCTGGCTGGGGAGGGAGGGCTCAGGCTGGGCCTGGATGGAGCTTGGGCCTGGGTTCCAGGCTCCGAGTGGCATTCTGGGGGTCAGGCAGCACAGAGACATGACCTGGCTTTCTCTCTCCTGGCGACAGATGAACTTT